TAATAATTATAATGAAATAATGATAATAATAATGTTAATGATGCTAATAACAATAATTTTATTCTTTTATTATTATCATTACTATCAATAACGATTTTAAAAAGGACTATTATAATTATTATTATTATCTTATTAACAATGAAGATAATAACAGCTTAGCCTTGTTACTTTTAAAACATCTTTTAGGTAACTCAAAAAGGTAAATTCGTTTAACCACTACTTCATGAATAAGTCAGAGCAGTTTTTACATTTACTTCTTTATCTATCTACCTGTCTGTCTCTTTGTACATGAATATATATGTACATCAATGTATATGTGTATATATGTATATAAGTGTGTGTATATTCGTGTGTGTGTGTTCATAAATGTATTTGCAGAGATAGAAATATTTTACACCAATATTTACTCTGAAATGCATTATTTTTCTCTAGATTCCTTTATCATTTGATATATATATTTGTATATATATATATATATATATATATATATATATATATATATATATATATATATATAACCACAGTGTGCACCATATGTAATATCCTAAACCTCGTTGGAAATGGTCTTTTTGTTTGCTTGTTTGTTTATATTAGATATTAAGGGTACGCAGACTACAAAAGGCTGTTACAAGTTTTATTTTCGTCTTAAACAAATAAATACATTTATATTTCACATTCATCCACGATTGCAGTATCGTATTTAGAATGGACTCTTTAAGGTGTGTTGTAGAGGTTAGAAGGAGGTGAGTAGCTTCCTCCAATGCCACCTCCGATGCCACCTCCGATGCCACCTCCGATGCCACCTCCGATGCCACCTCCTATGCCACCTCCAATGCCACCTCCGATGCCACCTCCGATGCCACCTCCGATGCCACCTCCGATGCCACCTCCGATGCCACCTCCGATGCCACCTCCGATGCCACCTCCGATGCCACCTCCGATGCCACCACCGATGCCACCACCGATGCCACCTCCGATTCCTCCTCCAACTCCACCACCTCCAACAACTTGGCCGCCGCCCTGGGAAGCTGAACTCAGCGCCGTCTGGAGGTCGACTCCGCTGGGAAGAGTCGGGTTCTCTCCTTCTGCGTAGTTCACGAAGAACACTTCGGGGTTGGATTGTGGCGGTGCTGGAACCTCGATCACTCGCTGGTCCTGTTCAGACTGCTTGTTCAGGACATATACGACGTGTTGCTGTTGTGGCGGTGGTACAACGATGGGTTCTGGTCCCTGTGCGCCGTCAGGAAGTCTCACGAAAATGATATTGCGTTCCAATTTAGGTTCCGGAATGTAACTTGGCCGATTGACAACACCTTCGTTTGCTGGCACATCGTACAGGAACACACGGCTGTTCACTTGAGGCGTAACGCATCTCCCATCCACGTGCCGCACTTGCCCACTGCCACAGCTGCCAGAGTTAAAGGAAGGACCAGAGGGCGTAGGCAGGTTGTACCCCTGAGGGGCAGCAGACGCAGCAGCCACCAATGCTAATACCTTTGGGGAAAACAGTATATTTATAAGAAATAAATCGTTATTGTTGCTTTGATGTAACAAATATCAAAAAGCAGGCTCACGGCAGAACACAAAATAGGGAATATAGCACTACTCACCAAGAGCTTCATGATTGAAGTCGATACCTTCACCCCATGCGGAGCCACATATATATACCAGCATCAGATGCTCCTCCTCCGTGCTTCAGATTAGCCTTCGCAAGGTCTTTCCTTTCTCCTTTGGTATACAAACCTCAAAGTAAATAGTTTTTTTGTTTTTTTTGGTTTAACCACTTGGCTAGGACTTTAGGATGATGACAATGCAGCTAAAAAAAGAAAAAAAAAATGTTTGCCGGGTCATTATAAAATATATAAATGTGTTATAGTATATATGTGCATATGTATGCGCGTTTGTATACATATCTTTTGATATAGGGAGGTAGAAATATATAGTTGTAGAAATTAATATGTATATGTGTATGTGATAGGTGTATATAAATATGCATATAGTAATGGGCAGAAATATGAGGATATTGGTATTGCTTGTGTATACCCACGTGTAAATATGTGTGTCTATGTGTGTGTGTGTGTGAGTGTGTGTGTGTGTGTGTGTGTGTAAATGTGTGTGTGTGTGTGTGAGTGTGTGCGTGTAGATGGTATCTTAGTGGATCTTCTTTTCCGTTTGATTACAGCTATCAAAAATATTGTAACCTACTACTGATTTACAATCAGTAGTAGTAGTAGTCTCGTTGTTTCGTTGTTCCATCTGCTTTTGTCACTGTTGTTAGCATTGATATTATTTTTACTATTGTCTTTTTTCTTGACATCACTACCATTGCTTCTAATGATATCTTTATCATTATTACTATTAGTGTTGATATAACTCTCATTATCGTTGTTATGTTTTATATTTACTGATAACTTATTATCATTTTATCATTATTGTTATTATTTATCATGATTTTCTGGTATAATCGTAATTGCTTTTGTTGTTATTGTTATTCTTATTATCATTATCATAATTACCAACATCAAAATCACTATTACCAATATTGTTGTTGTTATTATTGTTATTATTCTTATCATTATTGGTGTTATGGTTATTGTTATTGTCCCTGCTTTTATTATCATTATCATGATTATTGTTCCCATTTTTCCTATTTTTATTGTCATTATTGTTATTGTTTTTATTATTATCATCATTATTATCTTACTATCATTGTTGTTATTATTGCTATTACTACTTTTATTAGTAGTAGTATTGTTGTTATCGCTGTTGTTTTCATTATCATTATCAGTATAATTTTTATGATCATCATGAATCTCAACATCACCATAAGCGGTATCATTATTATTGTTACCATATTCAATATTGTTTTAATCAGCTTCATCATGAGTATCACATTTACAATTATTATCATTACCATTTTTATTATCATTATCAATGTCATGGTTTTCATTGTTATTATCAATACTATGATCATTATTATTATCATCATTTTTATTATCATTATCATTATTATTATAATTTTATTATTATTGCTATCATTTTTATTATTAACTTTCTTATCATTATTATCATTATTATCAATATTATTATCATTATCATTATTATTATCAATACTATATTTTTTTCTTTTTTATTATCACCATTGTCATTATTATCACCTTCATTATCATGATTATTACTATAATTATAATGATGATTACTATCATTATTATTATCATTATTATTAATATCACCCTCATCATTATCATTATTATCATTATTATCCTTAGTACTACCATTTTCATCATCATTATCATCATTATTATCAGTACCATTACTACTTCCATTTTCATCATAATTACCATCATGGTTACTGTCAATGTTATCATTATTATTATCATTATCATCATAATCATTATAATTGCATGCTTGATTGTTATCACCATTATCATTATCTTTATTCATACTATTATCCTTATTATCATTATTACTCTTATTGCTATTATCACTATTATTATTATCATCATTATCATTGTCATTATCATTATTGTCATTATGGTTGCTATTATTATTTCATTTATTATTATTATTATTATTATTATTATTACTATTACTATTATTATTTTTATAATTATCGTAATCGTTATCGTAATTATCATTATTATCATTATGGCTGCTATCATTATTTCATTTATCATTATTACTGTTATTATAATTATCATCATCGTTATTATTGTTGTTTTGTTGTTGATGCTATCATCATTATCATCATTATTATTACTATAATTATTTTAATTATCATTACTATTATTATTATCATCATTGTTATTATTACCACCATTACTGCTGTCATTATTAACATAATTATTATGATTATAATCATTATCATAGTTATTGTTACCCTGTTATTGTATTATCGTTACTGTTATTGTCAGCATTACAGATATCCTCATAATCCTTAGTATCATCATCATTATGATTATGATCAACATTATTATTAGTTTAATTATCATTATTGTCACCATTGTAATTTTTATCACTGTTACTATTACTAATACCTAGAGAAAGTTATATAACAATTCTCTTTTCTTTCCTAATTCTATGAAAAACCGGTATCTTAGCAAGAAGCTTGTTAGCGAAATTACGTGCGAAATTTACACACGTGATGAAAATTTGAGTGTGAGTTGCCTATGGCCTAGGAAGACCATGGTTACACTGGGTTATATTAACGATCTTCCTGATAGATTGGATAGATTTGGGGGTCCGTTGGGCAATCTGAGGGAACCTGCTTGCACGTAATCGAGGACAAGAGAGTGAAATTCATGTCAACTTGCTCATCATTATCACGAATTTTGGGAGGAGGCTAAGTAGGGAGATGAGGGTTCCTTGATACTAGCTTCGAGGTCTAGTTATTGTTGCAAGGTGTGGTTTTCGCTAGCTATCATTATCATCATTATCATTATTATCATATTCATCATTACCATCACCACCACCACCATCCTCATAAGCATCACCATCGTTATCATTATAATCATAATCATCTTAAGCTTAATTATCATCATTATCAACATCATAAGGTTTATATTCAAAAGAACTAATGGTTTTCTCACAAAAGACATAATGGCATCATGAGGAGTATTATATTTCAAATGAATCTGGGCTGTTGGATTATGAAAAACGACATATATGCAAAGTCTATACACATACACGTGTACACACACACCTACGCACGCACGCACGCACACACACATATATAGATAGATAGATAATAAATACATATATACATACGTACACATCATAAATATATACATAAATATGTATCCATATGTATACATACACACCCACGTACACACATACATACATATATATATACATGTATATCTGTACATATATGTATATACATATATAGTCTTGTGTATTTGTGTATAGTGAAGATGACATTCATATACTATAAAAAGTTTATGTGGGTTTTTTACATGGTAAATGAACCATTCTATTTTATACATTTATTTTTCATAACAAATAACATGTAGATACCACAAAGGTAAACGTATAACAATCATGTGCAACATAACTATTTACATATATATAAAGAATTAAAACTTTCATCCTTTCATTTTCCTATTTCATGGTGTGTTGTAGAGGTTGGATGGAGGAGAGTAATTGCTTGTCGGGGGATTGTAGCTTCCACCTCCAATGCCACCTCCTACTCCACCTCCTACTCCACCTCCGATACCGCCTCCTACTCCACCTCCGATTCCTCCTCCTACTCCACCTCCGATTCCTCCTCCTACTCCACCTCCGATTCCTCCTCCTACTCCACCTCCGATTCCTCCTCCAACTCCACCTCCAACTCCACCTCCGATTCCTCCTCCAACACCACCGCCTCCAATAACTTGGCCGCCGCCCTGGGAAGCTGAACTCAGCGCCGTCTGGAGGTCTACTCCGCTGGGAAGAGTCGGGTTCTCTCCTTCTGCGTAGTTCACGAAGAACACTTCGGGTTTGGATGGCGGCGGCGCTGGCACTTCGATCACTCGCTGGTCCTGGTCAGACTGCTTGTTCAGGACATACACGACGTGTTGCTGTTGTGGCGGTGGTACGACGATGGGTTCTGGTCCCTGTGCGCCGTCAGGAAGTCTCACGAAAATGATGTTGCGTTCCACTTTAGGTTCAGGAATATAACTTGGCCGATTGACAACACCTTCGTTTGCTGGCACATCGTACAGGAACACACGGCTGTTCACTTGAGGTGTCACGCAACTCCCGTCCACGTGTCGCACTTGTCCATTGCCACAACTTCCAGAGTCAAAAGAAGGGCCAGATGGCGTAGGCAGGTTGTACCCCTGAGGGGCAGCAGACGCAGCAGCCACAAATGCGAAAATCTGCAAATAAAATTGTAATATTATAGCGCATTTTGATAACTGCTCTTAAACTTTTTTATATCCACGTAATTGAATAGGCATCGAAAGCACATCTCATTAACCAGGCACGAGCCTATAATCACTCACCAGGAGCTTCAT